TTATTCATTTAATTCACCATAAATTATGGAATTTGTGGCTCCAGAAATTCCTCAGACAGACTGTTTATTCTAAGAGCCCTTAACATGTTTATGAAACAATTTCTTTACATATTTAAAAACTTGATATTTCAGTTCTGTTTGAAGTTTAGCATAGTCTCATGTAGTTCCTTGAACAGTAACTTCTTTTTTTTTTGAGACAGAGTCTTGCTCTGTCACCCAGGCTGAAGTGCAGTGGTGGCATCTCAACTCACTGCAACATCTGCCTCCCGGGTTTAAGCAATTCTCCTGCCTCAGCCTCCTGAGAGCTAGGACTACAGGCATAAATTGTCCTAAATTTGGCAAGTGAGAGCTCCAAGGTTTGAAAGATCTTTATAATAATCTAATGTATATATCACAAAACATGATGAGTTTGGGGGACATAAAACTCTAAAATGTAGACTAAATGATTATATATACATTATATATTTTATTTCATTTTCTTTTTTCTTTTCTTTTTTGAGATAGAATCTCGCTCTGTCACACAGGCTGGAGTGCAATGGTAGCATCTCGGCTTACTGCAGCCTCCACCTCCCAGGCTCAAGCGATCCTCCCAGTCCCACCTCAGCCTCCCAAGTAGCTGGGACTATAGGTACATGCCACCACGCCCAGCTTAATTTTTGTATTTTTAGTAGACAGGCTTTCACCATGTTGGCCAGGCTGGTCTCGAACTCTTGACTTCGTGTGATCCGCCTGCCTTGGCCTCCGAAAGTGCTGGGATTACAGGTGTGAGTTACCGGCCTGGCCTCTTTTCAAGAGAGTGGTTTTAGCTATAGTTTCCTATAATACCTGGGGGCCAAAAATGTGTTGATTATCAAATGGTACCAAAAAGAAATGGTTTCTACTTTTAAATAACCTATATTTTAAGATAATACCAAAGAGTACCCTTCTAATCAATGGTATGATGAAGTCAACTAAACTGTCAATTTTTTTTTTTAAGAGGGAGTCTCACTCTGTCTTCTATCATCCAGGCTGTAGATGCAGTGGCTCGATCTCGGCTCACTGCAACCTCCACCTCCTGGGTTCAAGCAATTATCCTGCCTCAGCCTCCGGAATAGCTGAGATTGCAGGCGCCCACCACTACACCAAGCTAATTTTTGTATTTTAGCAAAGATGGGGTTCACCGTGTTGCCCAGGCTGGTCTCAAACTCGTGACCTCAAGTGATCTGCCATCCTTGGCCTCCCAAAGTTCTGGGATTACAGGCCGTGGTCCACCAGCCCCAGCCTAAACTGTCAAGATTTTTTGCAAGACAATTATTAAAAACAGCCATCATTACAAATTAAATTATATAAATTAGCTGAGAATGGTGGCTGAAAAAATATTTTCTATCAGGCCCAGCCTGAAAAAATATTTTTAAAAAAGACAAGAAAAACAGCTTGTGCTAGGTTTGATGTGTACCTGTAGTACCAGTTACTTAAAAAGCTGAGGCAGGAGGATTGCTGGAGCACTGGAGTTCAAGGCTGCAGTGTGTTATAATCTCTCCTGTGAATCGTCACTGCACTACAGCCTGGGCAATATAGTGAGACCCCATCTCAAAAACAAAGGTAGGAAGGAAGAAAAGAAAAACAGCTTGTAGGAAGAATGTTATCCTCTGTGGAAAATTGTGTAAGAACATCTTATAATAATACAAAAGGGCAGTGCTGGCTTTTTTTCTTCCTTTTTTTTTTTTTTTTTTGATATGGAGTTTCACTTGTCACCCAGGCTGGAGTGCAGTGACTGGATCTTGGCTCACTGCAACCTCTGCTTCCCGAGTTCAAGCAATTCTGCCTCAGCCTCCCTAGTAGTTGGGACTACAGGTGACCGCCACCACGCCCAGCTCATTTTTGTACTTTTAGTAGAGGTGGGGTTTGCCAAGTTGGGCAGGGTGGTCTCAAACTCCTGACCTTAGGTGATCCACCTCCCTCAGCCTCCCAAAATGCTGGGATTAAAGGCGTGAGCCACCATGCCTGGCCAGTACTGGCTTAGTGAAGTCAGTGGGCTAGGGAATAAGCAGGGAGCAAAAAGGATGCCAAAGAAATGATGAAAGATAGAAAAATAATCTTAAGACTGGGCACTGTGGCTCATGCCTGTAATCCCAGCACTGTAGGAAGCCGAGATGGGTGGATCACAACGTCAAAAGATCAAGACCATCCTGGCTAACATGGTGAAGCCCCGCCTCTACTGATAATACAAAAAATTAGCTGGGCATGATGGCACGGGCCTGTAGTCCCAGCTACTTGGGAGGCTGAGGGAGGAAAATTGCTTGAACTCAGGAGGCAGAGGTTACAGTGAGCCAAGATCAGGCCATTGCACTCCAGCCTGGCAACAGAGAGAGATTCCGTCTCAAAAAAAAAAGGAAAATATCTTAAATGTCTCTGCTCTGAATCCTTCATTTTATAAATGAGGAAATAGCAAAGTAACTTGCCTCTAGTTCTATTTCCATTACTGTTTTCTTATGTAGCTAGACAAAGTTATAGACGATATTTAAGCCAGTAAGAGTCACTCATGTGGATGGAAAAACTGTAAACTCTTTTTTTGTTTTTTTCTTTTTGAGACAGGGTCTTGCTTTGTTGCCCAGGCGAGTGCAGTGGCACGATCACAGCTCAATGGAGCCTCAACCTCCTGGACTTAAGAGATTCTCCTGCCTTAGCCTCCTGAGTAGCTGGGACTACAGACGCATGCTACCACACCCAGCTAATTTTTGTATTTTCTTGTAGAGACTAGGTCTCGCTATGTTGCCCAGGCTGGACTTGAACTCCTGAGCTCAAATGACCCTCCTCTCCTGCCTTACCCTCTCAAAGTGGTGGAACTACAGGTATGAGCCACCATGCCCATCCAAAAATATAAATTCTTCACCTAAAATTAAAGGTTTTTTAAAGTTTTAAATTAATATCACTAAAGTTATAAAGTTAGTCAACTAAAAATTCCCTCTAAACACAACCTGGTAGTATGGTACAGAAAAATAAAAGAATTGGGATACCTGGTAGAAATTCTAGTCCTGGTGTCACTAACCAGTTATGTGGCTCTAGGTTAAGTCCCTCTTTGGGTCTCCCCTATCAAATGAGAGTTGGAATCTAAAATCCCTTTCAATATTAAAATTCCATTATTTCTTTATATGACAAATAAACGCATTTATCAAAAAGAAAAATGTTACCTTCTTCTAATAAATTAAAAATTTACATTTAAGCCTCAGATTTTAATGTGTATAGTGAAATCTAATTCCTTGTTTTCTCCCTAAAGATGACTTTTGCTTGTTTCGGCTACTTAAGTTTCTGCAGCCTGCCCATTGTTCTTCCCAAACACCAAAACCCTATAAGCAATATTGCACTACTCAGAACTATTTACACAGCAGAGACAATATTGATAGGGTTCTAGGATCTGGTGATAAACAGATTTATTTTTTTAGTTAGATGACAGGAAATTTACTAAGCAATTATGATGATCTAAAACTCATTAGGGTCTGATTAATCATGTAAATTGATACTGATAAACATCATTCACTGCCCTTTCAGTTATAAATCAAGCCTCCTGGAAGCCTTGTAAATCAGTGAGGTTATTGTTTAACTTTTTAGGGGCACTGGAATATTTAAAATAAAACTAGTGATTTTTTTTTTTTTTTTTTGAGACGGAGTTTCGCTCTTGTTACACAGGCTGGAGTGCAATGGCGCGATCTTGGCTCACCGCAACCTCCGCCTCCTGGGTTCAGGCAATTCTCCTGCCTCAGCCTCCTGAGTAGCCAGGACTACAGGCACGCGCCACCATGCCCAGCTAATTTTTTGTATTTTTAGTAGAGACGGGGTTTCACCATGTTGACCAGGATGGTCTCGATCTCTTGACCTCGTGATCCACCCGCCTCGGCCTCCCAAAGTGCTGGGATTACAGGCGTGAGCCACCGCGCCCGGCCAAAACTAGTGATTTTTTAAAAGGCCAAGATATTCATATTTCAGAAAGCAGTTTTCTCCAAAATCAGTAATAAAAATAAAGGGGAAAAGTTTTATACTGACCTGAAAAGTGTTTAATAAAATACAAAATTTAGCTGAAAAAAGTCTATGGAAATCATCATGAAAGCACCCCAAGGGAAGCCAGGTTACATTCTGCCAATTATATTTCTGATTTCCCCCATTATTTTGGAATATTTGCATTATAATTACTGGTTGAACATCCCTAATCTGAATATTCAAAATGTGAAATGGTCCAGTGAGTTTTGGATTTTGGAGCATTTCAGATTTTGGAATTTTGGATTAGAGATACTCAACCTGTACTAGTTGTTTTGTTTGTTTGTTTTTTTGGGACAGGATCTCACTCTGTCACCCGTGCTAGGGGGCAGTAGCGCAATCTTAGCTCACTGCAACCTCTGCCTCCCAGGCTCAAACGATTCTCATGCCTCAGCCTCCCCAGTAGCTGGGACTACACGCACATGCCACCATGACCAGCTAATATTTTGTATTTTTGGTAGAGATGGGTTTCACCATTTTGCCCAGACTATTCTCAACCTCCTGAGCTCAAATGATCCACCCACCTCTGCCTCTGAAGTGCTGGGATTACAGGTGTGAGCCACGGCGCCCAGCCTGTACTAGCTTTTAATATGACCAGTTTAAGGCTTTAAGTAAGTGGCATGGGGTATTGCATACCACTCAACTATTAGGCAGCAAGGAGGAAAAAATATATTGTGGTTGTCACAATATATTGTGTGATCCCCAGTTTTAAAACACTTGCTTTTTACAAACAACCCATAGATTCTCACTGCCACGGTATGTCTCCTACAAAGGACTAGTGCTCTTAAAGCTCCAAACACCTCTTGTGAGAGACCTTATCTCAACAGCATTAAATCACATACAGTGAAAAAAAGTATTTCAGTCTCACCTATGGTGGGCTAGGCATAGAGAGAAGAGTTGGTAGACAGATGTGTTCTGGACTCAATAGGCTTAGAAAGGCACTGTCCATAGAAACATTTTAAGGGAGAACTATCTTTTTTTTTTTTTTTAAAGGTACTCAAATGTCAACTTTATTGTTTTTATATATACATCTTTTTGTACTGAAAACTGTAAAAATAGCATAAAGTTTGCTCTTATTGCAACCCAAATTTTTGAAAGCCAGAAAATCTAATTATTATGCTCTAGCCAAGCTAGCTAATGCTTTCTTTATCCACAAGTAACTTTGCTTCAGTTTCTTGATGTTGGGTGTCACCTCACTGACTTTGGGCTTCTAAAACACATGGGAATACTTATATCCTCTTGGCTTCTTCGGGTCAAATCAAACAGTAGAGCTAAAGTTATTCAAATACATTCAAACTACACAGATCCCTTATAAATTACTAGTATCACAGTAGGAAGAAAAAGATACAAGAAAAATACATCCTAGAACTCATTATCAAAATTATTGGTGTATAATCTATACTAGCAGAGAGTAGCTTTCTCGGTCTGCTATATAAAATTACCAGCAAGAAAAAAAAGTGCAAGAATAAGGTTTATCGCTGAAGTGGCTTGCTGTCATAATTCCCTATTCTAGCATTCTCAGACCATCCACTAGACACAAAGAAACTGCAGGGACATTTGAACATTCCTCTTCTTGATGAATATGTGTGTGTGTGTGTGTGTGTGTGTGAGACGGAGTCTCGCTGTGTCTCCCAGGCTGGAGTGCAATGGCACGCTCTTGGCTCACTGCAACATCTGCCTCCCGGGTTCAAGCAACTCTCCTCCCTCAGCCACCTGAGTAGCTGGGATTACAGGTGCACGCCACCACACCTGGCTAATTTTTGTATTTTTAAGTAGAGACAGGGTTTCACCATGTTGGCCAGGCTGGTCTCCAACCCCTGACATTGTGATCCACCTGCCTTAGCCTCCCAAAGTGCTGGGATTACAGGCGTGAGCGCCACCGGCCCGGCTGATGCATTCTTAACTCCCTTAAGCCCAGTGTTTGTTAGTGTTCTTACATGCTTCCTAGGACCTCTGCCAAGTAACATGTATCTGAATCTTGCCATCCTTTCTCTCTGCACAGGCAGCAATGTTCTTACTCCACCCCTCCTGTAAGGCAAATCATCTCCGACTTCCCTGAGGACTGCTGCTCCTATAGACTCTCGATGAAGTAAACCTTCTGGTAAAGGGGAAGGGAATTCAGTACCAGCATTGAGAGTCAGCTTACTAAGGTTCTTTATCAATGTGTCGGAGAAGTTTTGAGAGGCCCCTGAATCGTCCCGGGAATTTTCTTCGGTGAGCATTTGTGAAGACTCTGGGCTGAAGGTTGGATTAAACTTCTGTGTTGGGTCCATCCTCGTCTTGACACAACACTAAGCTTCTCCTGGATCTTTGAAACCCAGCATAAACTGATGACAGACCCTCAAATTGCTACAAGGTAGCCTGGAAAGAGACTGAAAACCAGAGCTCCAAGGAATGGTGGAAGAACCGACAGTAAACCAATGTTGAGAATTAAGTATCTTAATGGAACTAGTTTGGCTATATTATTAATCAAAATACCTACTTTCATTTTTTAACTTTTTAAATTTTTGAAATGAGCTCTCACTATGTTGCCCTGGCTAGTCTCAAACTCCTGAGCTCACACAATCCTCTCACCTCATTCTCCCAAAGTGCTAGGATTAGAGGTGTGAGCTACTGCGCCTGGCCAGAATCTGCTTTTCGTACATTTTCTTCTCTTCAGTGTACATTTAGAAACACCTTTATCTACTCTCCTTTTACTTTGTTCATGGCTTCGGTTTACTATCTTCTGTATTATATTTTAATCATGTTTACATGGTAACGTCACCACATGATTTCAAACTTCTTCCTGGTAAGAGCTCTCTCTTTTTTGTATCCTTAGTTTTTAATATACAGCCTAATGTGCAGTGATGAAAGGGAATCGATGAAAGAACAAATATTCATTCATTTGAAAGAACAAACTACCTGGGAACCCAGCTACCCTTTAAAACATGTTTAAGGAGAAATATTTCAAGTTTCCATCAAGCTAAGGACTACCTATATCATGTTTACACAATCAAAATTGGTTTTATTGGTTTTTGCCTTTTTCTGCTGCAGAGAGTGTTGACTATTTATTATCCATTCTCTCTTCCAAACAGAACAAATGCATGACTATGCTTGTCCAAAACAGATAAGCAGTAATATATCCTCACACCAGGTCACAGACATATTATTGGCAATAATCACCAGAGGGGATGAAAGTGGGCAGGGGCTTCAGGTTCATCAGTTCCCAATTCGCAGGCTTTTACAGAACAATTGTTAGGATATATACATGAGCCTCTGCCTCTAAAAGGCTAGTTTTATCAGTCAAAGTAGTCTACTTAACTTTTTCAAATGACAGCTGCGACCATGCACAGTGGCTCAGGTCTGTAATTCTAGCACTTTGGGAGGCTGAGGCAGGTAGATCACTTGAGTCCAGGAGTTCAATACCAGCCTAGCCAACATGGTGAAACCCCATCTCTACAAAAAAAATACAAAAACTAGCTAGCGTGGTGGTATGCACCTGCAGTCCCAGCTACTCAGGAGGCTGAGGTAGGAGGATGGCTTGAGCCTGGGAGGTCCAGGCTCCATTGAGTGGTGATTGCATCACTGCACTGGGTGACATCACTCCAGCCTGGGTGACAGAGCAAGACTCTGTCTCAAAAAAACAAAAAACAAAAAAAGAAAAAGATAGCCTAGATTAAACCAACATATTTCAAAATTGTGGCACATGATACCAAGAAACTCAGTGCCTTAAAAACTGTTAATTTATTCTCATGGACCTGCACAATGACCCATCTCAGCCTCTGAAAACAGCTGGGATTACAGGCCTCCACCACCATACTTGGCTAATTTTTGCTATTAGTTTTTGTTTTGCTATTAGTTTTGTTTTGTTTTGTTTTGTTTGAGTCAGAGTCCTACTTTGTTGTCCAGGCTGGAGTGGAATGGCGCAATCTTGGCTGACTGCAGCCTCCATCTCTAGGGTTCAAGAGATTCTCTTGCTTCACCCTCCCTATTAGCTGGGATTACAGATGTGCACCACCACACCTCGGCCTCCCAAAGTGCTAGCAAGGCTGAGTTTGGTGGCTTTGCTTCACACAGCAGTTCTGGAGGATGCCTGGTAGGGCCTTTGCTACTGGTGTCTCTCACCCTCTTTGAATCCATGAGATATTCTCATGGAGCTACAGGAAGCATAAGAGTATGCAGAAAGATTGAGGTATCTTAGAGGCCCAAGTTTAGAACTGCACACTGTCAATTCTACCCACATGCCACTGGCCAAAGCACATCAAGAGGAGAAAAATGTACCCTGCCCACCACGAAGTCATGACAAACATGTGGATACAAGCCGAAGTGAAGAAATGGGGTAAATTATTCAATTTACAACAATACTTCTATTTTCTTTGAGAAAAATCAAAGTAGGTCATGGTAGTACATGTAAATGAGAGGGATGGTGTTATTGAAAGCATGTTCAGATAAATTATTTAGCTTATATACGTATTTTTTTAATTTCTTTTTTTTTTTTTTTTTTTTTT